TTGAGTCTCTCTTTAAAGGAGATGAGAGTTCTGTTAGGTTGCAATTAAATGTTTCTACTCCTTTGTTCGCTGGAACTTCTGATTTATGGGGATCTGAAGGCGTTTCTTTGCCAAAACTACATGTATTATTGAGTCTGTTCCACATCCTAAACCAAGATTTATATAAAACCGTGAAATACCACACATTACGACCTTTCCCCACAAGAAGGAAAAAAAAAAAAAGGCTTCATAACATCAATGCGCGGGCGCGCGCGCACACACACCCCGCTTGCAAATTTCATAACAATTCTCTGTCGAATCTCTGTCCAATACAGTCTGTGTATTTTTTAAGAAGTGGGTGGGGGTGAAGGGCGGTAAACAGTTCCCAAGCTATGATTTATTTTAAAGTACTTTTTTCTTGCAAAGGTGAGAAGACAGATTTCTGCAACTGGATGCAAGGTGGGAGAAGAGGAGGGGAGGGGAGAGGCAGGATATGGATTCAACTTTCATCTACAAACAGGGGTCACTAAACAGGGGACATTTCATTACTGCCCTTAAATTCACAAGAGTTAGGAAGCCTGCTTGCCACCCTGCAGGGTGGCCCTGACTGGGCAGCTCCCCAGTCCGTGAGGTGGTGGGAGGAGGGAGAATCTTCACACACTGTCTAGAAACTGGAAAGGATGCTCAGGAAATTTTCTGTGCTCATGGTGGGAAAATTGAACCCCTGGGGATATAAAGGCTTTAGATATCTCTGACCAGGAACCAGAACTAGACTCCAGAAGCCTCAGCCAAAGCTGGGTTCATTCTCCCAGTAGCACCAACTAGGACTTCTGTTTGACTCTCAGACTGAGCCCATCACAGTGTCTTTTCTCCAGACCCTCTTGTTCTCTCTGAATCCTTCTCTCTTTGGTCCTTCCACATTTCAAGGAGACTGGTCTTGCTCTTTTACAATAATACCATGAAATAGCCCAGTCCATTATTAAAAATTATGCAAAACTGGACTTTCAGTAATCCATCCAAAAAACATATAGGAGACTTGTAGTAAGAGAAATAACTAGACTAGTTTATATGGGGGTTAATTAATAAAAGTTAATAAGATAAAAGCATTTTTTGAGCCAGCCAAGCCAAGTAAAGGAGAATAGCTTCCCAGTAGGCTTTATTTAATTAGCAATTAATACATTTTCTGCTAATATCCTTTAGGACTCTCCATGAGTTGTTCTCAATGAAAGAGAATGGAGATGGAGTGTAGGAACACTTACAAGCACCCAGGGCGTTTTGCTCTGATAAGAGAGGTTGCAAATTCATTTAAGAAAATGTTCATAAACAAGTGACAAGCTCACTCTAGGCTGCCTTCAGGGAAACAATGGTGAAACTGACAAATGTTCTTTGCTTGGGGGAGGGGCTTTTTTTTTTTTTTAAATATAAAGCAAGAAAACACTTTAAGAGAATGGGGGGAGGGGAGAGACAGGAGGTTAGAAGAAAAGAATGATTTCAGACTCCAGGCAGCAGCAGATGCAGCAGCCCTTGCAAACACATCATCCCTAGGCATCTTGAAGATTTGGACACGTCGTAATGCTTCAGACCACTGATTTGCTATTTTCTTAATTCCTGCTCTTCTTTTTCCATATGAATCAAACAGTCTTTTGTCCTTCAGGGTTTGATTTGATCGCTACTGTTCACATTTCACTTTTGTATTTTCCTCTTCCTATACCATTACTCATTGAGTGCCCTGTGAAATTACAATCGTACATTTTCAACTCAGCAACCCATTTGCAGTGCAAAAATAGGGTCTAAATAATGGCTGAATTAGCCCTACTGGACAGTTTCAGATGTAACACTCTGTAATAATTATATTGCAGGCTGGATTAGGATGCTATTATCATAATCTGGACGTTTACAATTATCTGTAATTTGCAAAGATGCGCCAGGTCTTGATTACAGCAGTTTTTTTTTTTTTTGTATCACGCTAACCATCACTAAACAGTGACAGTAATAACAGCTAATTTTGCTGGCAATATAAGAGGTGCTGGGGTGTGCAAACAATTTCACACCTGGATGTGCTCACTCAACCAAGAATATAGAGAAAGAGCTTCTGCCCTGAGACTCAGAAAAATATTCTCCTCTGCTTCTGTTCAGTATAGATTTCTAGACCCTGATCATTGCTTAAGAGATATTCACTGGGGGTAAGTTTTTATTTCTTGCATACTTCAAGGCACAGTTCATATTTCTCTTCTCCCACTATCCAACCTGTATGTATTGCTGTTGTAATTTATTATGAACTACAACTTAGATTTATAGATTTTTCAATTCTGACCTTTATTTCCCTTTAACAGTCAAAGAAAGGTTGTCATTCTGGGGGAGTAAAAGGATTGGGGTGAGAAAGAGATCCTTAGAAACTTGATTTGTCTTTCTTGTTTTCTGTGCTGTTGATGTATTTGGTGGAGCTTGTGGCTAGAGACTGTGTAAGGACTAAGTTTCTGAGGGTGTAAAGGGAACTGGCTGGAAAGGTCAAGTTAAAATCTATTTCAAAATTGTTACTCAAAGCTAGTCCTAGGCGAATTCATTGATGTCGTACCACTGCCGATGATTTTAAGTTTGGGGGTATGGAGGGAACAGGCGGGGTTCAAGACAGAGCTGCTTTACTATCACAAGTCTGCGGACATTTATGAAAACAGGTGTAATCACAATTTCTCAGCCGTGTAGCCCCTTGTACATCTTCCTCCACTTGGGAGAAAGTTTCCGGAATAACTGGCTCCTGAGACCCTTGGAGCTTTGTGGCGGGGCCTTTAGCCGAAGGGGGAAGAAGGGGAGGGGCAGGATGCCGATCTTAAAGCTATTGCCCGCGGGGCCCAAACCCTGTTACCTTTGGGTCGGAAGGGCAAGGTAGGATAAGACACTTAACTGAGCTGCAAAGCCAAGGAACTGTGTGATTTAGGAAAGCGCCAAGGAAGACTCTCGCAAGAAGCAGTGCTATTCTATCTATAGATGACGCTGTTTCCTGAGCCTGTGGATGCTGGAAGCAGCTAGAGATGTTAAGTGCTGGAGCCTGAGAAATCTTTGGCTCCCTCACCCCAGTGTAGGAAGACCTTTCTCTAGTGGCAGGAACCTTTGCATTAAGATAATGAGATGCTTATTGGCACGTAAGAGAAATCTTCCCCTTAAACCTCCTCCAGCAGTTATTGTATTGTTTTCTCTCTCTCTCTCCCCCCTCCCTTTTTTCTTCTCTCCCTCCCTCTTCTTTTCCCTCTCTCTATGTAGAAAATATGGACAGAAAGAAGCACTACATTTCGAACTCTGAGAAAGTTCGAACATGGGGAGGCGTGGTAGGCACTGAGACTGGGCGCTGCCTTTCACCCAAGCCCCTCCTACCAATTCCTCTTGCAGGAATCAGTTTACTGTGGGGTCAATACATTCGAAAGAGAGAAAATAATTAACCCTTGAAGTTCAGCAGCCTTAGAGGAAACCCATTTCCAAGGACAGTTCTGGGGGACCCCTTGGCAGAATTTCTTGTTTCAACTGCTGTTAGGAGGTAGATGATACAGCGCATCGTGATACCACCTCCGATGTGTGTTAACTTGCATTTGCTGGGTTTCAGAATTCCATGCACTCGCAGTGGTTTGGCATGTGTCTGGTGGATTTTTTTAAAAGAAAAATTAGTGTTGGTTTCGATGTATGGTAGCTTTCTTTCTAACGTAATTTGAATAATTCAGCAAAGCCCCACTACCAGCTGTATTTCTGCAGCCTCTTCCATTCTTTTCAGCATTATAATTTTGGTTAATTTTCAATTTTAGGTCCTACGTCTCTGCAATTTGTGTATGAATAACAGAATAATTTCCCTCTTTTGTTTCGCCTTTCCTGTTCCTGAATCTAAATAAAGATGGCTTTTTAGTATTAAAAGTGGAAGAAAATTACAGGTAATTATCTTTGACGGTAAAAACGCTGTAATCAGCGGGCTACATGAAAAATTACTCTAATTATGGCTGCATTTAAGAGAATGGAAAAAAACCTTCTTGTGGATAAAAACCTTAAATTGTCCCCAATGTCTGCTTCAAATTGGATGGCACTGCAGCTGGAGGCTTTGTTCAGAATTGATCCTGGGGAGCTACGAACCCAAAGTTTCACAGTAGGAAGGGGGAAAAAAGAAAAGAAAACATTTTTCCTAATGTAACAATGCGAATGCTAGAAAATGACAAGACTGATCGGTTTTAAACCATTCTGAAGACTGACTGAGCGTGGAAGTTGCTCAACAAAAAAAGGAACGGGTATATTGGTAAGTAGTCTTTGCTTTGTGTCTAATTATAGTGACTGTCCTTTTGCACGACTGTATGTCGCTGTCATTATATGGAGCACTCTGAGTATCTCTATTGACTTCTGATAAATGGCTCAGTGGTTTCAAGGTTCATAATTTGAAGGATGCCCAGGTCTCTAGCCATTAATTCTCACAGTATGGGGCTTCCTGCTTGTGTGACGAAAGGACTTTTCATTTTCATTATTTCTGTGCTTTCCACAAGATCGGAAGGATGTATTTCATCCAGGATGGTGCATTTTCCTACCTAGCTAGATTGCAAAGAGTTTTAAACATAAGTAGTCAGAACTGTGCATTTGCTTTGTTTTTCTTTTATACTTTCTTCATTTGTTAAAAAAAATATTCCAAAGATAAATACAGCTGCATTATTTTGGCAAAGGAAAAGGATAGGAGAACACTCAGTTTCAGCACTGTAAACTATTGGATGTCTAGAGGTGAATGGGTCATTCAAATGTTTAAAATAGTTGAATTGCGGAAATAGATAAAGCTGTAAATTCATAATAAAATATATGTAAAGGAAGCTGAGAAAACACGCATGGTTAATGTTAAAGTAATTAAGACAAAGACTCTGCTGCAAACTGGCATATTTGATGTTTATGTATAGGGCTTCCCCATATTAGGAAATAGAAATTCTTTTAGGAGTGGTAGAAAATATACTGGGAGGGAGGGGGAGGTTTGAGATGAAGAACACAGAGAGAAATATACAGGACACTCCCAGCATTTTGTGGCTTTTACTCCATATATGAAAGAAGACAAAAACATACAAAGTATATGTACAACTAAAATTCAACAATATATACAGAAATGTTTCTCAATATAAACGTCCCTATTAGCTTAGTGAATGCCACCAGTTCACCCAGTAAAGGTATCAAAGCAATAGAAAGGTGATTTTGGTTTCCTCTGTCTTTCCTGATTCCAGTTCAGGGTGCAGGGGTGGGGTAGGGTGGGGGGAATGGTTTTGTTTTGTTTTTGTTTGTAAATCATCATTCCTGCTCATTGCATTTTGATAAAACATGCAGCGTTCATTTTGTGGCAATGTTCTACTCTTACAGCTGATTTTCCCTTTTTCTTTAGAGAAGGGCTGTTATATGAGGGTTCTCTCTCTCTCTCTTTTTGTCAGTAAATAAAAATGCAGGAGTCCAAAATGCTTCTCTTTCATCATGTAATGTCTTAAGCTCATTAAACAAGTAAAAACGCTGCCATGTTTGCGCAGATTCTTCTGGTGGGGAAAATGTGTCTGTTTTTAAAAAGTCATTTTGATGGATACTCCCAAGGAGAAGAGGAGGCTCAGAGCCTGGATCCCAAGGGTAAGGGGAAATATCCTTACAGTGAGGGGTTTCAGGAGCACTGGCATAGAAACCAGTCTCTTTCTCTCTCTCTTTCTCTTTCTATCACTCTTTCTCTCTCCCTCTCTCGCTCAGATGCAAGATTAATTACCGAGGCTGCTCAAGGAAAAAGGCAGATGAGCAAAAGAAAGAAAAAAAGAAAAAGGAGAAAGGTGGGAAGGAAGTATAAGAAGGGTGGGGAAAAAAAAGGGAAGAGAGAGGCAGACGGAGAGAGAGCCAGCGAGCAAGCACCCAGTCTCCTCACACGAGAGTTCTCCCGAGCCTGCTCCCTCGGCTCTGTTTGGCAGATGCAAGCAGGTCCCAGATCCTCCTTGCCTTGTTCAGACGTTTCCCTAGGGTATCGATTTCCCTTGGACAACTCACATCATCTGTGGTCTCTGCATGGTGTCCTGGTGTGGAGAGGAGTACCAATGCGAATAGCCGGGCATGTAGCTGTTGGGGGGCATACTGACGCCCTTGGCCGAGGCAGAAACGTCCCACACCGGAGGTAGAGCCGGCGAGCGCGGCGACAGGGCCGCTGAGCCGGGGAGAGGGTCGCTCTCATGTGGGTTACTGCCCTGCTTCAGCAGTTTCTTAAACTTAGAGCGTTTGTTCTGAAACCATATCTTCACCTGGAAAAAACGCAACATCGATCTTTAGGCCCCCCAAACACAGAAACTGTGCCTCTGGTCCAATAACTGCCCACTTAGCCCCCTCTCCCCAAAACCCCAAATCCCCAAGCTCTCAAGTCTCCTCCTACAGCCACCTTTCCTGCTTCTCCCCACCCCTCCCCCATCCACCATTTACTAGGTATCTTGTCTGGAGACAAAATCACTGTAATTTTTCAGTTTGATGCAAACTCTGATTGAAACAACAGCATGAATAAGAACATAAAAAAAATTAAGGTGAATGAAAAGGCCAGGTTCAAAGTCTAAAGGAGAATTTTTAAATGGAGAACTTTTCTGATCCAAGCCAATTGAATGTGAGTCCTTTGATAGTCTTTTTAAAATCCAATCCTCAAATTTGGCAGTGATTCATGTGCAGAGAGCAAATCCACGTGCAGTGAGCAAATGACTAGGAACAGATTAAAGCCTTTACATTTATAACCAAATGCCTTGAACATATCTATGCATCTTGCACATGCCATAGATATGCATGGAGCATCTTTCTCCTGACATAAATATATCCTCATAATCCTGCAGGGATTAGGGATTGTGCCTGCTTCATTCCCTACTTTGCATGTTGCTCAGTCAAATTGTGGTCAGCAATCATCACATGACTGTTGCAGTCATTAAAAGTCAAAGAGCTCCCCAAAATTAAATGTGAATCAGGAATCTGGGCAGGGGGCAGATCTAGTCTAACATCTTAGACCTACTTTATTTGTAGAAGGAAATTCTATGGTGTGGCTTCCTTTACACTTAAAATTCCTCAGCCATAGTAATCTGCTTTTCCAAGAGGACTACAAGTTATGTGAATAGCAGAAATCCTTTCATATCAAACCCCAAATATTTCCAGTAGCAATATGGCAAAAGAAAGCAGGCTGAATCAAAAGGAAGAGCTTACAGAGCATCTGTTCTAAGGCACCACACAATTATTCCTCAGCAAGTGTCTCATAAAACCTAAAGTCCCCTTGCTCAAGATCACCCACCTGAGATGAGGCCTACTACCCCATGCAGCTAAGTTAATAGACAAGGACAAAAACCACAGGTGATTGCAGCCTGGCTTTATGACCAGGGTCCTAATATTCCTGCCTAAGCCCCTTCCTGTGAAGTCTGAAATGCCTATATGTCTTTCAAATTAGTAGGACAGGAGAACTTCAGCAACTGTACTTAACTGAGGCTTCACCTGCTGTAATTTGGGGGAGCATTCCTCTTTGATCTCCAACTCTGCCACTGCTCCAAGTCCTGTGCTCCAGGGAAGCACTTCAACCTGTACCAGCCAGTCACCCAGGATGCTTTAACCATTGAGTGTAGGACAATTTTCTGAGAAACCCACCTCACCTATGCTCCACTGAATAGTTTGCACTTTGTCTCCTTTACTAAATCCTATTGGAGACCATACCTACCCAACTCTCCCCCGCCTTTTTTCACTTCATAATTCTTTCTAGGCAAGTTGAAATCTTTATGAAGTCCCAGAGCTCACAAAAAGGGTTCTTTAAAAACACGGGCCGCATTCTGCTTCCTGGTCAGAACATTATTTTCTCTTTCTCTCACATGTTTGCTCTCTTTCATGTTGTTCTGCTCTGGAATAAGACTCAGTTAAATTATAAATTTAGCCACTAAAAAACATTAGGCTGGGGTGGGGTCGTAGAGGGTTGGGGGGATGTGTAAATCCAATCCAGTATTCAATACCAGCTTATTTATTCCAAATTGTGTTGTCCCGGGAAAGTGTGTAACTGGAGCAAAGGCATTTGTCATTAAGCTCCTTCCATCCTTGGTTGACTAGGCCAAGAATTCCTCCTGATGTGCTCCCGGCCCGATCTGAAATCGGGGTCAGCATTTCAGGGATACTTGGGCTTCTCGGGAATTACCTGTGTTTGTGTCAGTCCTAAGGAAGCTGCCAGTTCAGCTCTCTCGGGAAGGGCCAGGTACTGAGTCTGCTGAAAGCGATGGTTTAAAGCCTGGAGCTGCAGGCTGGAATAAATGGTCCGAGGCTTCCGAATCTTTTTCCCTTTTCCATTGAACCTGATTTCCCCGTTTTCGATCACTGTGGTTTTTTGTTGATCTGCAAGCAAAGGATACAGAGGAGCGGTCACCTGTGAGGCTACTGCTGCAGTCTCCCTGAGCGCGGCCTGGCCTGCACCAGACCTCCCCTAAGCCCAGTAAGAATTTCCACGAGGCGTCCCGAGCCACCCAGACCTCATTGAGTTCTTGGGGCCGGGTACTGCCAACGATTGCGAAAGCTTCTCCCAAACCCTGCCTCTGACCCTAATAAAGCGCGGCGGCTGGACCCAAGGCAGCTCCCTCGGCCCTCGGGCAAGCAGCCTCTCACTGCCTCAGCGGAGGCGGCGCCGACCGCGCGCTGGGGCGCGCGGCGCCGCGGGGCTGCTGCTGCTCGGCGAAGTGGACCCCTTGGCCAGTCTCTGCAATGCCTTAAACAGTGCTTGAGTCACTCTGTCGTCTCTGTAGCCAGCTGACTTGATGTCACCAGCTCCACGCCTGGTGCATCAAGACCCCTCGGCGAGTTCGAAATGGTTCTGCTGAAAGGGACCAAACCCCCAAACAAAAAACACAAGCCGCTGTTCAGCCCAGATCCCCAGCAGGCTGCTCCTCGCATGGCAAGTTTGTTCCCCTCGGTGCTGAGAACCAGTCGCCCGAGGCCCTCGGTTTCACCTCCGTGAACAAAGAAGCTGCCAACCTCGTAGCGAAAACCCAGAGGGAGGGGACCCGGCCAGGGGCGTGGGGGGGGTCACCTCAAAGCCCGCGGGAAAAAGCCCAGTTGTCACCAGTTTAACCAGAGCCTGAGGCCACGCCAGCTTCCCTCCGGGTCACCAAAGCGCACCGGATGCCCCACGCAAAGTAGGCCAGTAGCTACCCAGCGTGGGCTGGGGGCTAAAACACGCTCCCCAGCTCCGGCCCAGAAATGTCCCCAGTCCTGCTGAACGCGGGGCACAGCCTGGACGGGAGGCGGAAGGCAAAGAGCGCACCGACCCAGTGGGCTGGAGAGCGCAGTGCAGGCAACTCTTGAGCCCAGCCTGCGCGAGCCGGAGGCGCCGCCCCAGCGGCTGGCTGCAGAGGAGGGAGCCAGGCGGGCCGCACAGCCGGCGAGGTGAGGGTCCGAGGCGGCGGTAAAGGGCCAGGCTGGGCGAGGCCGGCAGTCAGGCGCCAAGCGAGCGGGCGCGCACGAGGCCTGGCCGGGGGCGCGCCGGGCCGCCTGGGGGAGGGGGCCCGCGGAGGCCCGGGCGTTGAGGAAGTGAGCGGGGCGGGAGGGGTGGGGGGCAGCCCGGAGGCGGGAGAAGCGAGCTGCCCAGGCGGCCTCTCACCTGTGTCGTCCCCTCGCGTCTGAGCGGCCGCGCTGCTGTTGTGGTAGGACTGGAGGTAAGGGCTGTGCTGCGAGTGGCTCATGTAGGGGTAGGCGGCGAGCGAGCGGTGGTTGTAGGAGTTGCCGCCGCCCGACGCGTAGGGCGAGCCGTGGTGGTGGTGCTGGTGATGGTGGTGGTGCGAGCCGGCCGCCGCCGCCGCCGCCGCTGCCGAGTGCAAGCAGTGCAGAGGGTAGTGCGCGCCTGCCATGGCCGGGGAGCTCTGCTGCGAGTGCGGCTGCGGCGGCGGCGGCGGCGGCTGCTGTTGCTGTTGCTGCTGCTGCTGCTGCTGCTGCTGTTGCTGCTGCTGTTGTTGCCCGAACTCCATGAAGGCGGATTTGGACGAGTCCTGGCCTTCCAAGCCGTCAGCCATCGTAGTCATGGTCATCATCAAAACTTTGGGGGCTGGAGAAAGCCTTCTCCCGGGTTTCCTCCACCCTCCCCCCACTTGGCTCGCGCCGTTCTCCCCTCTGCAGCCACCTTAGCTCTTGGGATTCTTGCAAAAAATTTTTAAAAATTAAAAAAAAAGAGGGGGGCGGAGGTGGTTCTCCCTCTCCCTCGCTCTTCTCTAATATATATATTTTTAATATAAAGAGATATAGTGAGCGGGGCCTTGTTAACTCAAAGGGAGGAGGAAGGGGGAGGGATGGGAGAGGAGGGGGGAGGGGGGAATCTGCTCTCCCCCCCTTCTTTTCCCCCCTTGGATTTTTTGGGGGCTGGTGCAGTTTAAGGCAGAGATTTTAAGGTGGATTCTGCGAAAGTTGCGCGTCTGCTTTCAGACTTGATGCAGACGCCACGAGTCGAATGGTTTGTCTCCAAAGGGCAGCGCCTCCCCATTGGTCAGTCGCCCCCTGACGTCACAGGCGCACGGCTTCTACTGGTGTGTGTGCGCGGCTCGCCGAGTTTTTCGCCTACCTTTGGCAACTCCAATCTCTACCCGGAGCTGCAGCCTGGGGGCCGCGCGGCGCGGCACACAGGACCTCGGGGAGAGGGATTTGTCCCCGGCCGGCCGCTGACGCCTCACGCCTCAGTTCGCGCCCGCAAATCCAGAGCCTGAGTTCCCATTACTGCAATTCTGGAACAGTGTGACCCTGGGCTGCTCTCTCTGTACCCCTGCACCGGAGCAGGCTGTCTTGCTCAGAAGCAATGCCCCCTGAATTTAAAGCGGGGCCCCCACCCTCCCTTGACCTCCCCCCAAACGCCCATCCCACCACAATCCCGTGGGAGCGCCCTGTCACCGTGGATTTTTCTAGACGTGCTTTATTGAAACCACAGAGGGAAAGAAGAACCCCCACACCTGGGCTCCACCCCATGATGGGGGGGTGGTAGAGAAGAAGAAAGATCAGACCCTGTTGTGGCGAGATTCCTGCAGTTTCAGGCCATATTTCCTTTATATTGAACAAAAAAGGGAGAAGAAGCCTTCTTCCCCCTCCCTCCCTAGAACGCAACAGCCCGTTCTGAAAGCGAATCGTTGGAGGACTGACAGTAATGCATTTTTTCCTATTGAAAACAGAAGCTACTGTAATGCTTTCAAATATATGCAAATGATACATGCGGTTAGTGGTTTGGCAAATCTTGATTACAATATAAACTACCCAAGTAAAAGTGCCTTCGTCCTAAATTTGTCTCTCGATTACAATTCCAATTGATTTTATTTTATTGTCAACATTGTTAATGATAAAAATAGAGTCGTTTTACAGTTATTTTTACTTTCTGGAAGGAGGCAATTAGAGTTCTAATCAGGAATACACAAAAATCTCCCATGATTAACTGCAGTACTTTGTTCAAATTGCTGCTATAAAATTCAGAACAATTTGCCTGTAATGATTATGGACTGGGTTTATTTTGGGAGGTGGAATAAAAGTGGATATAGCATAAATTATCCTCTAATTATACACCAGTGTCGCCTCAATTATCCTCTTATCAAAATGGTTGTCTAACTGCCGCATTTAGTTTCAATTCTCTCCTTTTTTTCTATAAAAAGAACTTCATACCTTGTTATTATTAATCCATTTATTATTTGCAAGGGGATTTATATCCGCACATCCAGGTGGTAGAACCACTTCTCTTTCAAAGATGGACTGGGGAAAGACATTAAGTTCGGAGCAGCCCGGGGCTTCGGATCTAGCCTCTCTCTCTCTAGTTTCCAGACCCATTCAGGTCAAGGCAACCGAGCAGAGGCAGCGGAGCCACATCAAGCAGCCCAGGGCCGGCACCAGGTAGGTAGGAGAGTCGGGCTGGGGATCTGGCGCGGAGGGCAGGCCGGGCCCGCGCGGCCGGGGCCAGGGCCAGGTCCTGGCACCGTGGGAAGCGCCAGGATTCCTCACTGCTAGTGGATCGAAATTGGGTGGGCAAGACATGCAGACCCTTGAGGGTTTGGCGCCAGCTTTCGATCTGCGAATAGACCCAAGCCGAGTCTTTGGCCACGCAGAGAAATGCATCATCTAGAAAATCCCAGTCAACGTGCCTAGAAGATTTCGGAGACCGGTCTGGGTCGCCCTTTGGGAAACACGATTGGGAGCTTCTTTACACCTTTTTCGCTTGGATTCTGTACTTTTTGCGACCCAAGGAAGTAAAGAAATGGACATTTTAGTGGAGCCGCTCATTCCTATAACTCCAGAAAAGGTGACTTTAGACTTAGCAGCTCGGACTCTATTTACATATTGCGCGAAGCTTTGCGGCAGCCGCTTATGCTAATTGATTTTCGCAGCTCCTTCTCCGGGGTCTCCCAGGCATCGCCTGGCTAGTTTGCCTTTTTTCCCCCTTTCCGTCCTTCAACCAATTTTATCAGATGACCTGAAGCTTGCTGCCCGAGGGTTTTCTCCAGGGTTCCCAGAGCAATAGCGTTCACTGTCCTCTCCCCCTCCCCTTTCCCAGCTCGCCGCGCTTAACTTCTTGAGGCTCGGGAGCCGGTTCAGTAACTCTGAATTCATTTTTAAGTGGCTTGCCTTGTTCCCTTCCTTTTAACAAGAGGTGCACTTTAACACGCGAACCAGTAACCCGATCCACGCGTTTACAAGTCGACAGTGAATTAAAACAACAACAAAAACCAAAATAAGCTTCAAGGAAAATGAAGGATGGGCTGGGTACGGGCGTGTTCTGTGTTTGGTGTGTGTGGGGGCTGGGGACAGAAGGGAAGGTTAGAAAGAGAGAAGGTGCCCCCCCCCTTTCCTAGAGTACTCTCGGTGCACCCGGGCTGTGCGCCGAGCTTGTTTGTAGTATCCTCAAAGCCAGCAGGTAGACGTGGCAGTTTTATTGCTTTATACCCTGCAGCTTACTGTTAACACGGTGAAGGCGTTCCCCCCACCCCCACCCCCCGTGCAAGTCTCTGTTTCTCTTTTTATGCTCGCAGGTGCACTACTTTCCTCACTGGCTTCCCCCTAACTCTGGCCGCAACCCGAGCGGGCGGGTCACGGAGAGGCTGGGAAGGTCCCCGCGCTGAGTTCCAAATCCTGGGCGCTGCAGCCTCTGTTTGCAAAGGATTTTTTTTTTTTTCTTGCTTGCTGAATATCTGTGGAAGCCCAGAGGGCTGGAATTGTCCGGGTTGTAGCTCCCATCCCTCTCCCATTAGATAGGGGACAAAATCCTAGCACTGTTCCTGAGGAGCAAGTGTGCTATGCTGCACTACGATAGCAATTGTTCTTATGGCAAAGGTTCTACTGCAACTTGCTGAGCGACCCAGCTCAGGCTTAGGCAGTATGGGGCTGGGGACCTGAACGAGGGAGGGGTTGTCCTGGCTTACTAGAGGTGTCTGCGCGCGCCCACGGGAAGAAATCCAACGGTTCGCTTGAGTGTCGGGCTTTCATGACAATCTTGGGAATAACTAGGCGGAAAACTAGTCTGGCCCCAAACAGCTCGCTGTGTTGGCCCATGGTGACTGGCTGCATGGTGTGGCCTTTGCCACCAACCTCGGTTTCCACAGTTGGGCGCGCACAGACAGGCTGGCAGGAGCTGCTTCCCTCTCGATTGAACGGGCATCCAGGCTTCTCATTCCTTTCCCCAGGGTCATGGGCGTCGGTAATGAGCGGAAGGGAGGCGACTGCAGCCATCCTTGGTTTGTTCCAGTCCAGTCCTCGGCAGAGAAAAAAATTTTCTCAATTTTTCAAGACCTCGCTCTGCTCCAAAGGCACACACCCCAGCGGGGTTCCAGGTCCCTGGCCCCAACTCTCCACTGGTTCAGCCGAGGCTCCTACTTCTTTGTTCGCTCACCGGAGAACCTGGGCCAGCCCTCTTAGGTGGGAGGAGGAAGCTGACTAGGCCCTCGAGGTCTTTATCATTCAAAATAGAAGTCAAGCTGGCAATCTGGATGAGTTGGAGGCTCCTTTAGGGCCTGTTGTAGCTAAGGGTCACATTCACTAAGAAGTTTTAAGAGAGAGGATTTAATGCCTAAACTGCATTTTAAGGTGTTGAAGTGTTGGGACTTGTATCCCAACTGTCAGTGTTATTTAGGGAGAAATACTTAGGTGTTGCCAACACCAGACCCACCTCATGGTCAGCATGCTCAAGGCTGAGGTGAGAGGAATGGACTCTTTGGGTGGGAAAATCCTCTTCTGTTTTAGTTATGAAGGGGTTTATCCTGGAGTAGGCCATGGAATGCACTGAGCGCCACAGAAAGGCTTGCAGTTCAGACTGTAGAAATATATTCAAACCGGCCAGGGCTAGGCTGGGTTTGGTTGCTAAGTTGGGCTCAGTTATCACGTTAATTCTAAAGAAATTAGACCTGGATAAATAGCCTTTGAATTCAAAGAAATTGCTTGGTATTGATTTACATAGCCATGCTAAGAAACCCCTTCTCAACTGGAGACATTGGTGGAAAAACATTCCTGTTAGTCTTTTCCCCATTCAATGTAAAATACTGTTTGTGTATGTGTGTGTAGGGAAATGGGTGCTTGATAGCCTGGAAACCCAGGCACCCTTCTCCCCTCCCCCTTCACACACACCTGGGAAAGCTTGGAGGGGAACATGAGAGCTCCCTCTTCCCTTTCTTCACCAGGGCAGTGATGGTATCCTCAGGAGTAGCCAGAAGTATCAGACTGAGTAAGAAAGTACTGAAATTATTTTCTCTAGTGATAAAACTACAAAGATAAGACTACTATATTTACTCCACACCCTGAAAGAACCTTACAGGGAAAGAACTCCACACCCTGAAGGAGCCTTACATGTCGGGTGTCAACATCCCTTCATCCATCTCTCCTTATCCAGGATCCCAAGAACAGTTGTATAGGAACACTCAATGTCATGTATGACATTGGTCCTTCAGGGCCGATGACACCTTCTAGGGGCTTCACAGACTTTTCCTAAACTGTCCAATTTGGATAATATTAACTAAACATGTCTCAGCTTAGAGACTCCTGCTATGAAAATGAAGCCAACCTTATCTTCAAATATAGT